CAGGTCTATGTCCTGCAGGTCAGAGGAGCCATTGAGGTTGGAGAGCAGGTTCTTCTGCTCCAGGACAGCTGCCTTTTTAGGGAAGTCATTGACATAGGGCTCAGCTCGCCCCGCAGCAATGTGTGGCTCTTGGCAGGGCCCAGGCTGAGTGGGGCCAGTGCCAGGTCTATGTCCTGCAGGTCAGAGGAGCCATTGAGGTTGGAGAGCAGGTTCTTCTGCTCCAGGACAGCTGCCTTTTTAGGGAAGTCATTGACATCCAGACATCCAGGTTGAGGTCATAGACGCTGAAGCTGGCCCGGATGGAGTCCTTGATGGTGTTCTTGATCTCCTGTAGGCGGCTGCTGAGGAAGCTGTTCACTCGCTCCAGCTCCAGCTCCGGCCACTCCAGCAGCTTCTCCTCGGCTGGCTCCCGGGCCTGGCTGGCTGCAGGGGCCCCGCTTCTGGGCCTCTGCCTCCAGCTGGGCTTTCTCCTTCTCCTGCAACACAGGTGCTATGAGGATCGGCTGGGCTGGGCCACGGAACCATGGAGCTGTCCTCCAGCTTTGTCTGACAGCGAACCCTGCACATCTTCTACAGTCCCCAAATTGTCACATTTTCCCTGTGGGCACTGCAACAGCTACCACACTGCACACCAGACACCGCTCTGGGCACAAGGCACCAGCACAAGGCATCAGGGCACTGCCTCTCCTTGCCACAGATACATGGTGTTAGTCATGTTGCAGGGAGCAGGTTGGACAGTGCAGCCCAAAGCACCCAGGAGGGCTGGGCCACCCTCTGCAGGAACAGAGGCAGAGCAAGCCCTGGATGGGGCCAAGCACTGCTGTCACCTCAGGGGGGAGGGACACAGAGATCAAGAAACCAAAAGGATGTGAAGGAGAGAAGGCAAAGCCCTGTGAGGGGAACAGTCCTGCCCTGCCCGCCCTCCTGCAGCCTGACCCCCAACCAGCCTCACCTTCTTCTTCTGCTTGTGCCGTGCTCTCTTGGCTGCCTTGGCACTGTTCAAGGGCTTGGGCTCTGTGCTGTTGATGTAGTCCAGCAGCTCATAGGTAGTCCAGCAGCCCATCCACGTGGCGGTGGTCCACAGCAGGCTCTCCCGTGCTGCTGTTGTGCCCTAGTTTCTGTGGCAGCTCCTCTTTCCTCTTGGTGAGGCGCGAGCGCAGCTTCTCCCGGATCTCGGCGTAGTTGCGGCTCGTGGGAGCGGCTGGAGGCTGCAGGAGGTGAGTCCTGTCAGCCAGGCAGGGACACCAGCCAGAGAGAGGCACAGGCAGCCCACCACGACCTCCCAAACCGCTCCCTTCCCCGAGGTCTCAACGAGACAAGTCGACACAGCCACACTGAGCTCCTCCACCGCGAAGCCACGAGGTTTGGCCGGCTGCGCCGAGCCCCAGGGCTGGGCAGGCGGCTGCGAGTCGGGA